TGACCTTCTCATAGATGGATGGCCTCACAGGGCTAACGGGTTCCATCTGCCCGGGAGACCGAGGAATCGAACCCGGGTTGCAGCAGTGAGAGTCCTGCATGCTAACCACTAGGCCACCAGGGGTCTCAAGTCAAAATAACAATTTAATAAAATAATACAATAAATGCGATTATACAGACAAACAGTTGGTTTTAACCCACAAAACCCAAATGTATAACCCAGCACCCTGGGGCATGAACAGAGTGTTCGTTGGGCCCCCTGAGTCCAAAGTAAAAGGAGAGGGGAAAAAAACCCCTGTTGGTGAGAGTCCTGTTGCAGTCTGGTCAGGAGTGGTGATTGCAGTCTGGTCGAGAGTGGTGGTCTCAGTCTGGTTGAGAGTGGTGGTCTGCAGTCTGGTTGAGAGCAGTGGTCTGCAGTCTGGTTGAGAGCAGTGGTCTGCAGTCTTCCTCTGGATCCCACGAGTTAAAAAAGTCCCAAGACTCCGAGATTATATATCCTCCAGTTCAGGCAGGAATGCCCAGTACCTCCCTCAGGGCAGGGAGTTCCACAATGGGTGTGAGGACAGGAGCATCCTCCTATCCCACAGGCCTCTTAACACCCAGTTTATAGCCTGAGGAGTCAGGCTGCTCTGGGCAGATGGTGTAAATGGTCTATTGATAACAGTTTCTGGGAAATGGCAAGGAAGGCTATAGAATACACAGGTTTGGGTTAAACCCATACAGTGATGAACTGGTCCCAGCTGTTCTAACTAGAACATTTTCTCACTTCAAAAGCTCATAATAGCAATAAACGGTCAAGGATCTTTTTAAAATCAAGAATTTTAAATCAGCAGTTGAAATAATACATTGGAGACATAAATATGTCAAAATAACAGGCAGTTGACACACCTAATTAGTCTCATCATTTTGTGCTTCACAATGTAAATTGTGTTGTATATTCCCAAGATTTTAACTAGGAGGAACTTTTTTTTCAGCGGAGTTAGGCTGATAAAGACTCTACCCATAGACTATGAATCTATTCATTCTTTGAATAAATTATTCAAACTATCTCAAGGCAGGATTAAATAATATTAAAGTAAGCATTTTCGTGTATTCTTGTACATTTACTCTCAGAGGCCTTTTGTTTCTGCTAAACCATACTCCTCTCTCAGATCAAGAATGAACACAAATTCTATGGATCAAAAAGGATGAGCACAATGCCCTCTGATGTGTCACTAACCCAACGAGAACAACATCTGACAACAGCTGTGGATTTTGAATGATGCTCAGGTGAGCCCCAGTAGAGTTCAAACCTGGATATCCTCTATAGGTTAAAGACAACACAGCCTAATTGCCTCACAGTGTTTGTCACCACCTTGAGCATGAGAAGGGACTGGGGGAACAAAGTGTTGATGTGCAGCAGTGAACCTTTGAAGCTGCTGATGAATTTTACAATAGTAACATCTGGCCCTCTGATGAGAAAAGTTCTGTCCCACTCACAGGGAAATGCAGGCTTTGGTTTAAAAATGACTGATGGCAGACAGAAAGGTGAGGAGATGCTTAACCATCAGCTTTTCTGCTTGCCACTGAAAGGGGACTGTATTCAGGCAACAATATTTCTAAGTTCAGTTTCATTAGTGAGATATATTTCCATTTTCAGCCAGTGGTATGAAGCTTCCAAAGGATGCAGGACATCCAGGGCTAGCAAAGGCCCATTTTATGTAGAATACCTTGCCTTTGTCATCCACAAAGGATTTAGGCAGTGTTCTGAATCTGAAAGATGTTTATGTCATTTTAAAATTTATACTTGCTTCTGCCAACAAATATCCAACACTTCTTTCAAATATTTAAGCATTAAAAATAACTTTGGTAAAGATACAACACAAAAGTAGAAAAATCCTTTAAAAAAAGATAATTAAAATTAAATATTTGAATGTAAAGCCAAATTCACAGTACCATAACTTCCATTTTTCTTGTCTGATATCAGGTATCTTTGAGCAGCTATCAGTATTGATGGCAGCCATCTTCACTAATCAACCAAAGGGCCACTGTTTTTTCAATAAGCAAGAAGAAAAAGTCAGCATCTTTCCAGTTGGGGAAAAGAACTTTCCTTCTGGGAAGGAAGGGAATCTCTTCTTGCACAGATTTGGCAGTGGTTTTCTGTTCCTCTACTACAAGAATTACAAGAGTGAAATAGAGTGGAAAACATCAGATCACCAAGGTCATGTGATGAATGAGGCTATTAGAGCAATTAGATGAGTTTTATCTGTTTTACTTGGTAAAATAGAATTTTAAGTCGGCTCATCTATCTCACCACACCTGATTACTCTGGAGGTCAAACTTGCAGGAAACATTTAGAATGGTAACAGCAGGAAAACTGCACGTATGGGCATCAGATTACTTGTAAACATATTTTGCCTAGTCTGTGCAAGAGAAGACTGTAAATACCCTGCAGTAAGGGTAAGATTCACTTGACATAAGAAAATCTATCAAATGTTTAGGAGCTTAGTTTAAGCCAACTCTCCAGGCGTATTCTGTAACCAAGGAAAAGAGCCAGACCACTCCAATAAGAATAATTTCCTCATAAAATAACGGTCTAAAATAGGTGAGAAGAATCAGTCTCTGCAGATTTCTCTCTCTCTGTCCATTGCCCATAGAGCAAGCACAGATGTTGAGCTCAGACACAACACCTAACATTTTGATGGATGAAATTATCCCACACCCAGTGACTGAGCAATGGCACTTAGCATTTCATGTTGATTCACGTCAAGTGACTAACACTGAAAGACACGACTGGAATTATATCAAATGAGTTCTGCAGTAACTGCATCCACCCTGAAAAGGACCCAGGCTTCACGTTGTTCAGCTCTAGGAATGCTTTGCTTAGAGCAAACCTCTTGCAGTTTGGAAAGCCAAGCTCATATGGGGCTGCATTAGCAAAAGCACAGCCAGCAGGTTGAGGGAAGTGTTTATCCCCTTTGGTTCAAGAGAGGAAGCTCATCTCAAGTGCTGTGACCCGCTCTGGACTCCTCTGTGTAAGCAACACCAACAAACTGGAAGAAGTCCAATAGAGGGCTATGGAGGTGATTAAAGGGCTAGAGCAAGGAGGGACATTCAAGAAGAGGCTGAGGGAACTGGGATTTTTCAGTCTTAGGAAGGCTAAGAGAAAATGCTTTTGCTGTTTGCAACTACCTAATGAAAGCATATAGAGAACTTGAGCCAGACTCTTCTCAGTGGTGCAGAGTGGAAGAATGAAACACAAGAGACATAAATAGCAGCAAGGGAAATATAAAATATTTATAAGGAAAAAGTCTTCATAATAAGAATGGTCCAACACTGGAAAGGCCTGTGTAGAGAGGCTGAGGAGTATCCATCCGTGGAGATATTCAACATTCAATTGACACAGGCTCTGGGCAAACTGACCTAAGTTGGGTCTGCTTTGAGTAGAAGGTTGTGCTAGATGATCTCCAGACGTGTTGTCTAATCTAAATCATTTCTATGCAATGGTTGTGGGAGAAAAAAAAAGAAAAATAAAGGGAATTTTATGGTTATTTTAAAGAAAGGTATGGAATGTGACACTGAAAAGATTGGGTGATATACAAATCCAGGATCATGATTCAGGTAAGGTCATGTGTGTAGGATCGATCTCACCTAACTTTAGCTGTCCAAAATGTCAGTGTGCAGTCTCATAACGGAGACTACATTTCCCTCTGTAATTAAAAGACAGACAGACAGATCTTGAGGATGGGAATTGTCTGATTTATTTCAAACACTCATCTTACAGTGCAGTGAGATTCTCCCTGGATTTCAGTCTTCCTACTGAGAGATCCTAAATTACTATCTTGGACTAGACATCACCTTTCAGGTAGTTTCTAGGGAGGATAAAACCCATTCTTGTTTCAAACAACAGAACTACACATATATTCAAAGAAATACAGAAATTATTGACAAGAGATATTAAAAGTCATTTTAGGAGAGAGGAGAGTCAAAGTAATAAGCACAAAGGTACAACAATATTCCGTGTCCTTTCACATCTTAGTGGACTTTCAGCAAAACCAAAAAGCAAGATTCAAGCTGCTAAGAAATTTATTTTCTTCCCATATTACATAACATAGGGGAGTTCATTGCCGACAAGTACCATCAAGCCAAAGAGGAAACATAAATTAAATTTTAACATCTTTTATTTTGTGAGATTATACATTCTTAAAATAATCTTAAAATTACATTGGCAATGCTGAAATTAAGGCAAAACCAGAAACCAATCAAACACATATTAATATAATAAACTGTAGAAAGTTACTTTATCAGACAGCAGCACAAAATAATCAGTTTAAGGTGATGTGCTTTGGCTAATAAATAAAACTAGAAGAGATCCCAGACTAGGCACAGGAACATAACTTAGCCTCTTCTCAACAGCCATATCAAATAGACAGCAGACTGGTAGTTATATTTAAAAACAAAAATCAAAAACTCACCCATCACAGTACAAGTGACTTATTGATATGAGCTAGGAAATTCCTTGCATATTATTGCATAGATGGTCTGCTCTCCAACATATCTGCTACTGACCACTCCCTTGTTATAGCTAAATACTGGATTAAATAGACTAAAATTTAAAGGTGTGATCTAGTATAGAAATTGTTATGTTTCTGTGTTTAAATCCATTTTAAAAACTAACTCAGTATTAATCTCTTCCATTACACTGAAAAAAAAGTCTTTCAATCATATCCTTTCACTTTTTTAAAAACATCTTCTTCATATATACTTTGTATTTTGTACATTGTACAGACAATTCAGATCAGCAAGGCCACTATAAAAATCTGATCCTTCCACCATACAAAACTCTACACTAATTCTTGAGTCTAGTCAATCTCCTGGAGAAGGGGTGGTCAACATGCACCTACTCTACTTTGCCAGATTTTTCTATCAAATTATTTGATTCTTGTTTCCAGTCTCCCTGAGATCCCTGGGATGTAAGTAAGGGCTATAGCAGCTCGTGCTTCACTCTCAGCTGCCTTTTTCTAACAGATGGGGTTCCTCTTCTGTCACATGGCTCCTCTTCTGTCAAAACCACATGCAAATGAAATTCAATGAATAGAGTTAGATGCATGAACAGAGTCCTCTGGCCTGCTACACAGTGGAAGAATATTGATATTTTCAGCAATACATCAGATTCAAGTCCTCCATAAGGTGAGATATGTGAGCAGCCTCTAGCTGCAGGGTCCACATATCCTCCACATGGCTGGAAATAGCCAGAGCATGGTGGAGAACACCTGGAATTTTTTTGTGTGAGCAGTACACTGTCACAGTTGTTCCTGTCACAAAAGGAAAAGTGCTTCTTTTAAATATTTCTGGCTGTAAATAATTTATTATACATTTCTGTAAACTCTTTTTAGGATTCAAATGCTCACCATTAATATGATATTACTACCTGATTGTACTTTGCTCACTTCAGTTTCCTGGCATCGGCTCTGCCCATCTGCTATCAACAGGATGTACCAATAGGATTATTTACAAAAAAAATCATATGACTGCCTCTAAACTTTTTTTTCTAAAGAAGTTAAATATATGCAGCTCTTTTAGGGATCAATTTTAATTTATTGGTTTTTAACCCAGTGCCCTCTTGGCAGTTCTTAGTTTTTCAATGCCCTTTCTGAAGTGTGAGTGATGTAACAATGCACACTGAATCTGTATTGGTGTGGTGGGTTGACCCTAACTAGATGCCAGGTGCCCACCAAAGCTGCTCTATCGCTCCCCTCCTCATCTGGACAGGGAGAGAAAATAAAACAGAAGGCTCATGGGTAGAGATAAGGACAGGGAGAGACCACTCACCAGTTACCATCATGGGCAGAAGAGATATTGCCAATCTAAAACAGACTAGAGTAATGAGTAGGGGGATGTACGCAAAGGAGGCTTCCTTGACCCCATGACCCCATGGGAAGCCTGTGCTGGAGCAAGTTCCTGGCAGGACCTGTGGCCCAGTGGAGAGAGGAGCCCATGTCAGGGCAGGTTTGCTGACAGGACTTGTGACCCCATGGGGAACCCACACTGGAGAAGCCTGTTCCTGAAGGACTGCACCCCATGGAAAGGGATCCACGCTGGGGCTAAATGTGAAGAACTGGAGCCAATGGGATGGACCTATGTTGGAGTAATCCTTTGAGGATTGTCTCCTCTGGGAGGGATCCTATGCTGGAGCAGGGGAAGAGTGTAAGGAGTCTTTCCCTTGAGGAGTAAGCAACAGCTGAGACAATGTGTGATGAACTGATTGGAGCCTCCATTCCCCATCCCCCTGCTCTGCAGGAGGAGGCAGAGAATTCAGGAGTAAAGTTAAGCCCAGGAAAAAGGGAGCAGTGGGGGGAAGGTGTTTTAATATTTCTTTTTTATTTCTCTTTACCCTACTCTGATTTGATTGATAATAAAATTAATTAATTTCCCCAAGTCAAGTCTGTTTTGCCTGTGATGATAATTGCTGAGTGATCTCTCACTGTCCTTATCTCTACCCATGAGTCTTATAATTTCTCACCACTGCCCAGCTGCAGAGGAGGAGTGATACAGTGGCTTTATTGGACACCTGGTGTCCAGCCAGGGTCAACCCATCACTTCATATAAGTAGCAGTCTGCATATCCTACACAGTCCATACAGAAAGCTGGGCAACTCTACAGATAAGCAGGATGGCTGTGGCATGAGGATCCCTCATATGTGAACAAAGCAAGGTGCAACGCAGATTTCTGCATCACTCACTTTTTCTTGATTTCTGTCTATCTTCTCCCAGGCTCTCCTAGGCACTCGGTATGGAGTTCAGTGTTGCTCAATAACATGTCATTGTGCATTGGAACCTTTCACTATATGAAATTATTTTAAAGTTCAAAAAAACAACATAAAGTTTCAATAATAACAATCTGCTGGATAAATCAAGCTTAAAGGAGTGGAAACAAAATTTACTTATTACCTTTTACCATAAATGCTATGACAGACCCTTCCTGGATTTGAGATTATTCCTATCAATTTTTGAATGTCTAGGTAGCACTAATAACTGGGGCAGCCTTCTCACTCATCACAAACTTGAAGACCCTCTGTAACTTTTTCTTTGTAGTCTGTTATATCCTCTTGTTTTGTGCCAGAATTTGAAGAGGCAGTAAAGGCTAAAAAATAAAATATGTCTGGGATAATACCTAGTCTGATATAATATTTGTCAAAGTGTGATTTTTATTTTAATAAAAACAGTAGTAAATCAAATGTGGTGTCTGCTACACAGCAGAAACAATACAAGAATTGCTTATATAGAATCCAAATGTTCCCTTTTTGCAATGCACACCATAAGTTGATGGCTCTGTGATCTCTTTGGATACTTTTAAAAGATATTTGTGGGGTTTTTTAAGTCTGACATGCATGTCGCCGGAATTTTGCAAAGCCAAATTATCAGGCTGGAATACTGCTGAATATATATTTATCTGACATATAATTCACAAGTCCATTAACTATTTTTCCTCTTCCTCAGCCAACAATTACATAAAAAAATTGTATTTTACAATTTATTTTTGACTAACAAGCATCCATATTCTGTGGAATCTCAGAGATTAACCCCAGACGAGAGTCACTTTGGTTCAGTTTTTTAATGTCCTACACCAATTCAGGCATTCAGATATTGCTGATCCCCATTATAGACAATGCTGCAGAAGAATATTCTCCACACTCATCATATTTATCAACATTTAACCATTTCAAGTAGCACTGCTTGCCTAAGGCTTTTAAAAAGTTAAAATTATTAAAAACAAACAGAAAAAGGGTTGAAAAATCCATAAAACTTCCTGTATTTGAATTTCCGTCCAATTTATTGAAATGTTTCCAAAACCAAAATCTAATAATTAAATTTAGTGGATTTTTAAGAATAATTAAAAAAAAAAGATATGAAAATAAAATTTTGTGTAGTGATAATTGACAATGGATGACTAGGACCATTAACGATTTGCAACCCAGAAAAGAACAGGTTCAGCTGCAGAATGTATAGTAACCAAATCAAAGAGAGAAACATGAATATCAGTGTACCCATGCGAGACCTTAACCAAAAAAATCAGCAATATTCTACCCTCCCTAGTCAGGTGTGGTGGTTTGGAGCTGGCTCCCCACCAAGTCCCCAATACCACAGCAAAATCCTCCCCCCCCACAAAAGCCAAGGGAAAAGAGAAAAAAAAAACAAACAAGAGACCTGAAATAAGAGAGCTAAAGCAATATATAAATATATTTACACTCATATGTATATATTACATTTATATACAATTACAAAGATCATATACACATAAGAAAGAAACCCCCAACACCCCCAAAGGGAAAGGGAAAAGGGACAAAAAAAAAACAAACAAACAAACAAACAAAAACACATAAAAACAAACAAAGAAAAACAAAGAAAAACCAAGACAAACAAACAAAAACAACAACAAAAACAAACAAACCAACCAACCAACCAAACAAAACCAGATATACCCAGTCAATAAAGAACTAGCCAAAGAAAATCTTAATACTTTCCTTGAGATGGCACAATCACACCAAACGCCACCGCCACGCTACCGGACCCCGGATCGGCAGAAACAACAGGTCCTGTAGGCCTGACCAGGCCTCAGCTCCCCCACAGGAGTGAGACCAGCTGCGGGAGTCTGCTGTCTCCAAACCTTGCTGGAAGAGAAGAGAGGAAGAGGCTTCTCTCTCTGTCTTATTTATGTTTGATTACGTAAAGGAATAAGATGGAATACTTCCTTCCTTCCTTCTTTCCTGTTTGCCAGGAAGGAAGGCCTAGACTCAAAACCATTACATCAGGAAAGATCAATCCAAGCTATAGCAGAAAATGAGTGTATCTAGGACATACAGGTCAGAGAGGGAAATGGTGTATCGACCTTCCAAGAAAAAAATACAAATTTGCAGTAACAGAATAAACAAAAAAATTATATGACTTATTTCCTAGGGTATGATTGTTGTTTAGAATTTCTTTGAGGGGAAAGGACAGGCAGGCAAAAATATTTAGGTACCAGGCAACGCTCATGTTAAAACTCAAAAAGTAAACTTATCATGAATACAGTCCAAACAAAAATTAGAAAAAGGTTTTTGACCATCAGAGGAAAAAAAAATCTCATTGAATTCCTATTAGGAAGTCTGGAAACAAAACCTACCTCCTTTTAAGTTGCAGATTCAGCAGTTCAGAATACATGCTGTCTTTGTCATTAAAGAATTGTGCAAAATGTTCTGAGGATTTACAATCTTCTGTAGTCCTATGAAATTCTGTACTCAGAAAACTGCATTGTTTAACTGCAGTAAATAGAAAATTAAAACTTTCAACCACTTCTTAGTGCTTTTGCTACAGAAGGAGTCATTTAATGGGAAAAATATGGTATCTAAATAGAACTACCATGATAGCAGAGTCAGTCTTGAACAAAATGGGATTACTGAGATCATTTGCATTGCCATCATTCACCCAGTGTTACTCAAAAAACTCACACATCTCAGACTTTGGCTTGGGACTCTTCACACATATAAGTTGATTTGCCTGTAGGACAAAATTCTCATGGATTTTGCATGACTGCAGCAGAGATTATAATTGGGTATAATTGCAGTTTCAGAGAAAAATCAGTCAGTAAGATACTGATACTATTATTAATAATTCTTTTAATATTAATGTATTGAAACCATTGTTCTGCAATTCCGTGTTAGTGCAATGTTTTTCCTGGAACCAGCATTATAAAATTCCTTACAAGAGTTGCATTCTTAACACATAAAAGTAAGAAACTCTCACCAGGGAATTAATAAAGTTATTCTGGAAAAGGCCAGTATTTCAAATTATATGCAGGTAGATCCATTAGGTGCAATTAAAAGGTCTAGCCAGTTTGCCTAGAATCTCTGGCACAAGCAAAAACATGTTCAACTCAAGTCATCTGTGAAAACTTTCTGGGCAGTCCCATATAGGACTGTTGTGTCTCTGAATTAATGACAAGCTGTAGATGCCATAGCATAGTTTCCCACCCTTGATGACAGTGCATCTTGAGAAGACAGCTCTGGACCCTTGAGGCCAAAAGGTGAAAGGGATTCAAAAGACAAAAATAATATGTTTACAGCAAGCAAAATAAAAAAAAAAAAGGAATCTCCTTCCGTGACTATTTGAGAAATTATAAAAATCTTTTGATAGAGCTGGGGCAAGATAATGTCTGTGGGTAGAGAAAATACCCTTTCTGGGACATGAGAGACATCTGGACACAATGGAGAAGCTTCACCAGATCTGAAACAGAAGAGCAAAGTTCAAGTTCAGTATTGGCTGAGGACCTGACAGGACAAGCAGACTCATGTCCACTAATAGTAAGACTTCAAAACCAAAGCACATGCATATAGTAATTTTTCTGGCAAACAAACAAAGGGACCAGCCTTTCAACAGCAGTATCTAGTGAAGGCTGGGCCATTGGGGAATATGGTTTCAAATAATTTATTTAAACAAGACAAGATTCTGATCTCGTTAGACTGGTGAAAATCCAAAGTAATTCCAAAACCTTCTAGTCTGGGGTTCAACAACCTTAATATGGAGGGGAGAGGGGAAGAGATCTCCCTTTTTAATAATATTGACATAAGAATTCTGTTTGATCTTTGGGGGTTATGCTTCAAACATTGTTTCCTTTTATTAATTAGGAAGGTTTTTATTTATTTCTACTTTTTACAGGATCATCTTTATTACTACTTCACTTTTGCTGTCTCACTGTTCCAAATGCCTTGGAGTTTTCTATTTTCTGGTTCTACCCTTCTCAATGGATTTACAACAAACTTTGTTGTATATGAAGATCAAAGCATTCATCCTTAAGCTAGCAAAATTTTCAGATGTGAAAAACAATGTAGAAAAAAAAACAAATACAAAGGTTTCTTAAAAAGCAGGGTGTGTGTGAAAGATGGAGACCAATTGGGCAGCCTCAAGACAGACACATACCAGCAGCTGCCTCTGCACTAGGGAATACAGTTATATAAAGCACATGTTCTTCCAGAACCTCTGAAGATGTCACGAGCAGTTCCCAGACCCCCCTCTACCACCGCTCAGCCACATCAGCCATCCCCATTGCCTGGAAGCAATCACATTGACCTCACTGAAATTTTCCGCATGCATGTCTGTGGGTGCTCTGCGAAGTCTACCTGCAAGGTGGGACCCAAATTCCATTTGCTGGAAGCTCTTTCCCTGCCTGCCTGAGACATATGGAAATGTTGGTACATACACTGGAGCTGGGGAAAAGAGTGTCAGTAGCCAGGCCACTTGCCCCGAGGCAAGGCGAGAGGCTCCCTGGCACTGACCTGGCAGCACAGAGCACCAACAGGCTGTGCCCCTCCAGCCCGTCCTTCTCCTCCTCCCCAGTCTCTGCCTATCCCCAGTGCCGGAGGCCAGCCTGTCGGCACTGCGTCAGTTCTCCAGGCAGGAATCCCACTGGTATCTCTGACGAGCTACTTGAAAATGAGACAGCCGTCTCTACAAACTCGTCCTCAATTTCTATTGAATGATTGATTGTTTTTAAACTAGTGCATTGTATATTTTGGGAAAGAATTTATGATTTACCAAAAAATTTCCTGCTGAAATAAAGCCAAATGGAGACTGATCTGGGCCAAGTTGCTCAACGTCCATGAACAAGAACATGTTTTTCTTTTTCTTCCTTTCTTGTTTTATGCATGTTTCTGGACTCATTTCATCAGCTGTCAGTAGTTAAATACCATTTCAGAAAAGGGTTTATTATTGTAATTTCCTCAATTATTCTGTTTGTTTCTGCTATGGTCTCCTGAAACAAAATCAGTCAGCTAAAGATTTAACAATATATTTTCCTCTGCTGCTCCTCACAAAGGGCCTAAGCCTTCAAGGTGCTCTGTTTCCTGAGCTAGTTTGCACCTTGAAAACCGTGACCTTAACTGAGGGCTTTTTCCTGTATGCTCCACTATTGCTTTCCAAGGGACATCACTGACTTCAGTTCACAGCCAGCTCATGTCCCCAGACCATACCCAATGGCACAGCAGTGCATGATAACCAGGAAAGGAAACCAATGAGAAAGGAAACCGATGAGAAATGAAGTGGAAAGCAAGAGCCCTTTTTCATCACATCAACAAAGAAGAAAACCAGAACAGATACACTAAGTGGTGAAAGCAATCCAGTTTAAATATACACTAGACAATGGGTTAGTTTAAGCAAATGTAGGTGTTCCTCTAACAGTATGTATCTTTTGAAATGTTAAATTAAATTTACATTAAAATATTAGGAAAAATCTGGTTTGAAAGCTATATTCTTTAGAGGAGAGAAAAGCAATTATTTTTCATGTAAGGCTAAGCAGACCAGAACCCACCCTCTGGCAGATGGGACATGCTGGGCACATGGGAGCTGCTCTGACACCATGGAGGTCAGTGAAAGGCTCTTACTGGACCTCATAGGGCTTTGGATGAGGATCCTGGCCATAAATGATGGTGGAACACAGCAACATGCAGCAACATCAGGTAGCCCTGGTGCTCCCTCACAGCTCCCCCGAAAACGAGACTGCAACACAATGCGTGACAAAGGCATAGAACGAGGCAGCCAAAAAATCATGAGCCTCAGATGTTCAGAGTGTGACATCTGCTTCTGGCTCAAGCCGTTCCTATACTGAACTCAGTCGCCTTTCCTCCAAGACACCCAACAACAGATAACCTCAATTTATGGGTTTCAATACCGTTTATCTTAAATACAGGCAGAGATTATTTGGCGCACAATGGAAATGTAACTATTTAAAAATCAAAACTAAGCAAAATCTATTTACAGCTTTGTAATTGCCCTGTGAATCATGAATATCCAGGCCAAAGCTTTCAGTGTCAAGATATTCAAAATCATGATTCAAGCCTTGAAAACAATCATTTGGCTATAAAAACTAAGTTTTTAAAAAAATAATAAAAGCTGGGCATTTTTTTTTATTAATTTCTCCATATTTTGGCATTTGTACCTCTGCAGTCATTAGAAATGGAAATTGGCATCTTTAAAACGCAGCTCAGAGTCTCTCTTGTTCACTTGATGCCAGGGGATGAGGCTTTTAAAGGAGCAACCAACAATTCTGAGTCCAGCAATAAATTTCCGAGTCTAGTTTGTGTTTTCACTATTCCATTTGGTCAGGTTAAACAGGTACCAAACACAGAGTCTCATATTGGAAACACATTGCACAGAAACAGCTCGGTGTTTTGGTGTTTCAGCATACATGTCTCACTCACATAACTTTGCTGTCATCCAGAGATGGGAGAATGAAGTGCCTGTTGAAATCATCAGGAATTTTTCAGTGTGTCTCAAGGCTTTGTATCATTCATACCTTCTGCATGAATTTAATATTTAAAATTGATAAAAACACCAATAAATAAATGTTGCACTTTACTGCAAAACCATCAGAATTTACAGAACATTTGTAAATCAACACCTCTCCACTCTGTGCAGTACAACCCTCCCTTGTTTCCTTTGTAGAAGGTAAATTCACTGAGGCAGGCAAAGCTGTCAGTGCCTTTATGTTTGTACAATGTCCAGCATGGAGGAGATCTGATGGGGTTGTGTTTGGTGCACTACTTTCAGTTTGCTCTCACCTCTGCACTTCAAGGTTGCAGCAGGCAATAAAAGCAAAAGTGCCAAAATACTGCAAGTGTGCATAGTCTCACTTCATTTCTAGTCTACCTGGAAGCAGAGGTACCAGGGACTTTGTGAGCTTCCAACAGCCCT